CCTGCAAATAGATACCACTTCTGACATAACTTTGATCTCACAACGAACTTGGCTCGCGCTCGGGCGACCCTCATTCAATCTGACCAACAGGAAAGCATTAAACGTATCTGGCGGACAACTACGTCTCATTGGTGAGCTTGTGACGTTTCGTTCAAAGGCATGCAGATCCGAGGAACTTGTCACCTTATAAACAGACTGTGTTTGAATTTGATAGGTCTCGAGTGGATTGAAAAGGAACTTTTCTCCTGGATGTGCCTCTGAACAGCGTCTGTCAACCTGTGTCATAGCCAGCAGTCGACCAAGAACTTAACTGACTCCAACTTGCAGGTGTGATCAAACCAGTCAACTACTCATTCTGGTCCGCACCCATCGTTGTAGTCAAAAAGGCTAACGGTACCATTCGAATTTGTGCCGATTTTTCAACAGGTCTGAAAGATGCCCTGGATGCACACCAGTACCCCCTACCACTGACCGACGAATTGTTCACAAAGTTAAACGGTGGCACCTGTTTCACCCAGCTTGACCTAGCAGACGCTTACTTGCAAATAGAAGTCGACGGGGACTCACGGGAACTGTTGACGATCAACACCCACCGCGGTCTGTTCCAGTATCTGCGACTTCCATTGGGCGCAAAGACCGCCCCTGCGATTTTTCAACAGGTCACGTACACTATGCTCACGAGTATTGGCGGTATTGCTGCCCATTTGGACGATATAATCGTGATTGGCAAGACATCCTTCAGACTCTCACAACGATTGCACGGTGTTCTGAGATGGATCGAGGAATTCGAGGTTCACCTACGTTTGGAGAAGTGTAAATTCTTCATGCCTTCTGTGAAATACTTCGGATTGATCATCGACAGGCATGGTGGTAGGCAGCTCTGCTGTCTTCCGGTTCGGTACCATGCCTAACCTATCGGGGCCTTATGTGGTTCGCCACTCCAAGTTCCGGGGCTTAAGTTGCCGATTTCAACTACTGAACAGCAGGTCTTCGTGACTATGGGGTTTACCCCGTCTGCTGTTCATCACACCTAGGTGTATAATAAAAAAAAGGTCGTCGCCCCGATCCCTCCAACATTGCGGCCATCGATAAAATGTCTCCTCGACACAATATCCGTTCATTAAGGTCCTTTTAGGACTCATAAGCCACTACGCAGCCTTTCTGCCAGACATGCACCGCCTGCGCGCTCCTCTGAACGAACTACTGAAAAAGGATGCAAAATGGAACTGGATATCAACATGCCAGCGATCTTTTGAAGGTGTTAAAACAATGTTGCGCTCCGACCTTCTGCTGACTCATTTCAATCCGGAACTCAAAATTATAGTGGTTGCCGATGCGTCAAACCATGGGGTTGGTTCCGTCGTCTCGCATGTGTTCCCAGATGGACGAGAAAAAGCCATTGTTCACGCTGAACGATTCCTGACCCCAACCGAACGTAAAATTGAAAATGAAGCCCTTGCTATCATGTTTGCCGTGAAAAGGTTCCACAAGATGGTATATGGTCGTCACTTCACACTCTTGGCCGATCCCAAACCGTTTGTCGCGATCTTTGGTTCGAACAAAGGTGTTCCGTTTTACTCAGCTAACCGACTGCAGTGCTGGGCTAATATGTTGCTGGGATACGATTTCCAAATACGGTTCCAATCCACGACAAAAATCGGTCAGGCAGATGCTCTTTCGCGCCTCACTGGTCCCCAAAGTCAGCAGACTGAAGACACGGTCATCATGTTTGTGTCGGTGGAATTAGATATGCAAACCCAAATTACGGACACAATACGAATACTACCTGTCACTTTTACTGAAGTACAGCGGATAACCAGACAGAATCCTATTTTGCAACAAATCGCTCACTATCGTCGCATACATTAGCCAACGTACATGTCCGGGGCCCTACAACAGTTTCACCGCCGTCAAGAATCTATGTCAATCTTGAACGATTACATCCTGTTCTCCGAACGCGTACTGCAACGCAGAGTTCTACGACAATTCCACCCTGGCCACCCAGAGATCAACCGCATGAAGACCCTCGCCCGGAGCTACGTCTATTGGCCTAACATGGACCAGCACATAGAAGAGCTTGGACACCCCTGCTTCAAATGTGCCCAAGCAGCCAAGACACCTGTCAAGACCAGCCTCCAGCAGTGGCCAAAACCGGTAGCCTCATGGTNATTTATATAAGAGTTCTTAGGCTATCCTTCCACGCTTTTAGGCTTAAAATGCTCGACCATAAACTGTCAAACGAAGAACTGCCTGCTTATCCATCTCAATAAATCTGTGTCTTATCCGAGTAGGCGTTCCAAATTTAGGATTCTTTGTACACGTAATATCACATAACAAAACAACATCATCCCTTGTTTTTCTCGTATCTTAGTGAGTCAAGTGAGCAAATACTAATCCAGACTTGAATAATCACCTGTCACATTAGGATTGTATCACATACATTTATTTTCCATTTAGTAAATGTATATTTCTTCTATTTTTCCAATGCTTAACGTTTTCCCCACTGTAAATTGTCAAAAGTGCTGAAAATTCATCCTACTGGGTGCACAAAACTTACTTGACTTGATTTGACTTGACAACAACAACATCACCTATATGCGTCAACCATGTTATCACTGCGCATATGCGACTGCGAAAAAGACGATGCAGTTCCAATGGCAATATCGTCTGATTAAGCTGTCGTCTATTCCCGTATGCACTACATGATCTCAGTACCTACCTCACAATGGACATAAAACAGCGTTTGCAACGACGTGTATGGATGGGGAATACAATAAAATTTGGCCAAATGTCATTAGGGATTTCTTGGAATCGGTGAATCAGGGAATTGATCCATTTAGTTTGTTTTCAGATCATTGGAATCATTATTGTATTATATTTCACACTTGTCTGAGGACAGACTGTGCGCTAAGCAAATCATGATACAATCATCTTTATAAAAAAAGAAGAACCTTCCATGATTCGCTTGTGAGCTGAATACTGCCAGGTTGCCCAGGACAGGGCAGGTGATTTTTCTTGAGGAATCCACAACCGGAGCCTTTGGATAGCCAAAGCCTGACCCACAAGGCAGCGAGGCGGTCTGTGGAAGCCGCAGTCTACTGGGGGCCGGTGTCCAGTTCATCGGATTATATGTCCTTTGGACGGGGTCAAACGTCCAAGGTGCCTAATATACCTCGATGCCCAATCGAGCCTGTGAACACTGCCACACCAAGGATGGTGTGGGTGATTGTGGTTCGTGCGTCTCTTCGTGACTGGTTTGGAATCAGGGTTTTGGGCCAACCCCCCTAGGTGAACTACCAGATTATGGGAAAATCTTCAATACAAAATTTTACAACAACCTATATAGGTCAGTAAAACTTTTCGGACGTCTTGTACTCATTGTAAATAAGTGTGGTGTTCTTCATACTCTATCTGATACAGACTGCTGGGTTTGTATTGGCGGCATAATATTAAACCAGTTGGTCCTAATACTTAACACATTATCAAACACAGGTTATCTCAAGGAATTTGAGATATCCAGCTGAAGACTGAAAAGCCATTTGTTATGTCAGGGTTAGAGGTTATGGCGTCTCTTTCAATCATAAGTGATTAAGAAACCAATCTGTTCCACTACGGTTTACCGTCGATTAAAAACCGAACTGACGAAGCAGTCAGACCCAGAACTGTGCAGAGAACACGAAGCCTGCCCATCAACCTGTGTGAAAAAAGCACCCATATTTACATGCCACATCAAACCACATCTATCCAATTTAATGTGAAGTTTGCATTCGCCAAACAGAGATAGTTAGACAGTCGGGTTCGGGGAGCACGTTACAAACTGAATTCAATCCCAGATTGCTATGTTGGATTCAACGAAGCAGATTACTGGCATGGGCTGAGTTCCGCAATTACTAAGCCTTTGTTGCTTCTGCAACACCTCGTCGATCGACTGAACTCACTTCGAATGATCCAAGCCAACGCTATGATGTTCAATTGCTTAAGATCATTGAAACAATTGCAATCATGCTATGGAAATCCCCTGTNTTTGCCTTGCGGACCATTTCTCGCGTTCCCATTCATTGACGGTTTTTAGTACTCTTCTCCTAAATGGACTGTGTATTAATCTGTAGCAGACGTCCGTTGAGACGTGGAAAAGTTGTCCAGGAACTAAAGCGTACAACTTTAGTATACATGCATCTGGTTTTTAAATAGTCCCAATTAGCTTGGGTTTTATAACTAGCTCCTTGCCATTAACTTTGTTTTGCGACGGAGAATTTTGTTTTTGATATTGCAAATCAGTGATTGTCTTTAGTTTGAACTAAACTCATCACGAGAAACAATCAGGGATTTTTTGATTGGTAAATGTATTTCTTTTTAAGATTCTTATAGTTTGGTATTATCGTAAGTCCCGTACTAAAAAGTCACACAATACTAAAAATAGGCACAGTGTTGTCCGCATGATTTGACTTTCATTTTCAATATATATATATGTGAAACAATAAAAACCAATTACCATATCAAGGTAACATTTCTGGCATTTCCAAATGATTGCAACAATATGCCTTTTTATAAATTCAATGATGTGCCACTATAACCGAATATAGGGAGCCTGGTGATTCACATTATTGTATGTGCTCACTCATTAAGAAACGAATGACCCGATGGTCATGTGTGATCTAAGAAACTGGAGGAAATCTATTGAAGGTCATGCGCATCCCACAGAACGCGTGCTAGACAGCGTGGGTCGAGCGTGAAACAGCTGCCCATCGATTTTGTTGTTCGATCAAACAGAATAGATCGATCGAGTCTAGGCCCGGTCTGACTAGCATTGATCCATGCTCATTTGAATCCACATTGCGGCTAGTAGGATTGTCGAACACGCACACACACACACGACACAACTGATCTGACATTTGGCTTATTCAATTAATCTATCCGTACAGATAGTGTGTTGGTTGGTTTACAGTCGTGTCAGACCGAAGATCGGGCTCTAAATCTGCGGTGTGATTCCCGTCGTACACATGACGTCCGGCACAGAGATCCATCCAAGTCGTTTATCTTTGGGAAATAGAGTATCCCTGATCACTGGGGTGCAATATCGGTACGAAGGAGTTGTGGCTGCAATTAATTCAATCGAAGGAACTCTAACATTACAAAATGTTCGATTTTGGGGCACTGAGAATCGAGTCCCCGGGAATGCTGCCACCACCGCCGGCGAAAATAAAGCCTTGACTGTTGGATACATGTATGATGCGATCACATTCTGGATGTCCAATATCGTACAACTCTGGCTTCTGGATGATGCAAAATCGGAACGAAACGATGTGGGCGATAAAGGTGTTGTGAAAGCAGGCGTGCCGGTCGATTCCGGTCGAGGCCGAGGTCGGCGTCAACGTGGTTGGGTATGTCATTGTCTGTAGCACGAGAAAACCGTTATTCACATTTATGCGTGTCATTTTGCTAGATTTTTAATTAGTAAATGCATGCCACACATAATATTACCATCCAGTTTGCCAATTAATCAAATTTTCTCTTTGAAGTAACGGTCTTTGTGTGCCGCAACTTTTGGTTGAATATATCAGCGATTTCACTGATCTGTCTCTCTATCGGCTACCAGCGTATTGAACGGATTAGTATCCGATACACAAAAGAAATGATATCTTCAAGTACTATTTAAACCCTAAATGTATCGATGGCATTTCAAAGTAGTCAGAATAACAAGTAACGTTTGAAATTGATAATCCTTAAGCGAGCTGTGGGGCAAAGTATTTCAAATGTATCAGAAAGTGTGTATATATATTAATATTTTCACACATGTCTGAATCCAGATTGTGTGCCAAACAAATCAAATCTGAAATTCCCTCAAATAGCAGCAAGTGTATTCTGGGTGTATTTTACATTTAACTACTAGCCGTGTATGGATCTGATGAATTGATCTCATAAGTTTGTAATGCCCGACCATGTTTAAGCACCAGTTCTGATCCTCTTTTTGTTTATTCAGATCACTTGACTGAAAATACAAGCCATATCTTATTGAAATGACATGCAATTACTGTGATCTTTTGCCAAACCTACCGGAACGATCCACACCGGTGTGCACGTTGTTTTTCTATTGTTTGCATCAAGTCAAGTCAAAGTAATCTTTATGCTCCGGTAGGGTGAATGTTCAGCGATTTTTCACGATAATACAGTGGAGCTGAGGTGAATGGCCTCCAAGTGTGAATAGGTTAATTTAAAAAATACAAAATGACAGAACACTGAAGGCAGGAAGTGACGAATAAAAAGGAATAAATAAACTGCCTCATGAGGTGTTCAACCAAACCTGTAATAATAGGTGCCCGAGTTACTAGAAAGCGAGCAAAGGACGATGCTGTTTCTGTATGCGACGATACGTGCGGGAAGCACCCTATATAGAGAACGGGCAAGGGGGTTTGACATGGATTTAAGTTCTTTGTGCAAGCAGTGATCTTCATTGTTCAGGATTCGGTCAGCTATTCTTTCACATGCGTCGATATGTTTGCACACAATACAATCAACCGGAACTTCTCTGGCTATGCCACTACATCGAGAAAGGAGTGTAATAGATCTGAAAATTATTACGAAATCTTTTTCTTTTAAGCCGGGAAAAAATACAGAGAAACAGTAGAGCCAATGAGGGGGATGCATGTTACCAAGAATTTGAAAATTACGTTTGGCGGAACAGCAAGCTTCCTAAGCCTGAAAGCATAAAAAGGGAGTTTACGAACCTTGTTGTAAACGTTCTCTATATGTAAGGTTCAAGAGAGGTTTCGGGATAAAAAGACTCCGAGGTATTTAACAGAGTCAGCTTTGGGAATGCTGTGACCGTTAACTACTAGATCCGGTAAGTTATTCAAGGTAGCTTGATATCGGGAGCCAGATTCAAGGCTGAACGGAACGTCGACACATTTAGAGACATTAAGCAGCCGTGATCGCAGTAAAAACCAACTAAAAACGTCATTCAGACTGGTTTGAACTTGGTGGAAAGAAGCATCAGTGTTGGAGGGGTACCCAATCACCACATCGTCGGCATACTTACAGTTGGTGGGGACAGGCAGGTGGTTTATGTACAGGGAAAAACGAAGGGAGACCAAATGGCGCCCTGGAAGACACCAGAGTTAACATAAGAGGAAGAAGACATTTTACCAATGCATGAGGTAAATTGTGTCCCGGAAGAGAAGTTGCAAAATTGTTCAATTTAGTCAAATTATTTTTCAAGTCATCCGGGGGATTTTCGAACAAGCATGATCTTATGACTTGCCGTGCATGCATTTAACAGAGCGATTCAAGGAAGCATAGTTATGATGTCTTCATGACGCAATTAAGTGAGCGGTTCAGATATAACGGTACCCAAGTTGATCTTATCCACCTTGTCAAGTTTCGCAACAATGGACCATGCACTTTTGTGCGCCAATTTCGGTTGCTGTCTACAGGCCGCGCAGTACAATCAAAGAGCAGAATAAAGTTTGGAATGTTGCTGGCAAGTTCAAGTGGAAAATAAAGAATTCATGCAGACTGAGGTTGCAATGCATGAGCGCCACTATTTGCGACATCCCGCTATATCGCTCACTGTCTCTAATCACTGGTGACCATGATCTCGAGGTCACCAGCCAGGGAGCCTCCCCTTGATCTTTTTCCAATCGATCCTGCCTTGGCAAACATCGTTTGCCGTGGAAATCTATCTGATGACATGTGTAAAAAATGCCCATAGCAGCGTAGTCCATGGAGGTCGACGACTTGCACGGATCTGGTCGGGCAGTCGGACGAGCAATGCTGAGGGTAGGCACAGAGTTTTGGATAAAAGAGCAAAATGAAGATTAGA